TTAGAATTTATTAAAATTTAATTAGATAAATTTCTAAAATATTCCAAAACTTATAGGATAAACTTGAATTATTAAAACTGGTTCCAACCTCTAATCATAACTATATCTAAGATAATGTTATTAGAGCATTAAATATTAAGGGTTTGAATGTTTTAGAAATATCTAGTAGGACTATTAGTGTTTTGCAACTATCTAATATTTTAGTAAATAAATCTTTCAAAATTAAAATATAAAAAAGATGAGAAGAGTAGATATAAAAAAGAAAAAAACTTTACTGCAAAAAGAAACTGCAAGAAAACACTTTGTATATAGATATTTTAAACATGAATAGTAGAGCTATATTACAAAATTAATTTTTATATTTAAGTACTACAAAGAAAAAATAATATTTTGAGTTTTCAATTATATAATTAGAAGTCCAAAATGCTATTTTTCTTGACAGTACTTATTGTATAAAATTTAAGTTGTAATAAAATAAATTTTATATAATTTTTCATATAATATTTTAAGTATCAGAATTAGAACACAAAACTTATTTTAAATACTAGAAATTGCTATCTATGTAAGACAATTTTTATCATGATTTTTTAACTGACAAAATTTTTATTATTTATAATAACAACTTCTGATTATTGTTATAATTATAGTTTTTAAATTTGATAGAAAAAACATTTTTAAAAAAATTACATTACATTATTTAAAAATTTTGTGTTCTAATCAAAATTGCAAAAATTCAACCTATATTAGTTTCATCTTTTAATAATTCATATTGTAGCTTTTCTATTGAGATTTTTAAATAATGAAAAATTAATTATATTAAAAATTATTAAGTTCAAAATTGTGATTATATAAAATATATATATATTTTTTTTTGCTTATGCTAAGGCTGTAGTTATTAGCAGCTATTGTCTTTATTGTATTTTAATTATGATTATATAACTTGTACAAGGTGAGTATACAACTAGCTACATATATAACTTTTGGTTGTCTATTTTAAGTAGTTCATCTATACAGTAGGTTTTACACTAGCTGCCATACTTGTAATCTATTAGGAGATTATTTATTTAAACATTCTAATCTCTATACTTATACTGACCAATAGCATATAAGTTTCTATACACCTAAGTGCCATCTAACCTAACTGTGATCTTCCTGCCTATACATTCATCAAGCCATTACACATTTCAGAGTATGTCACTTGACTGTAGGGTTCCAAAGGCCTTCTTGCTAACTAACTACCTACATTTAGTCTCTTATAATAAGGCTTGCCCTTGCAAAGTTCACTCAGACCCAGCACTAACTTTACTGCATATCTCTAGTACTTATAGTATCCTCTTGCTTTCATTTTCAGACTTCCAATTCAGATAGCTCTATAGGACTATAATTTGTTCCTAGTACTCTAGAACTGCTCTTCAAGGTTTTTTTCCTCTGGTTTTAGACTTCTGACAGCCTAGTTGATAATACCTTTCATCTGAGGTTTTTGTTTATCTGATTTCTTCTATATTGGTATTTATTTTCTAGGTCTAGTCTTTACAGTAGTATTGTCAAAGATCTGTGATACCTTTCTACTTAGGTTTTTCTAAGTGGATTCAGTTTTTTCAGTTCACAGATTTATATAGCTACAAGGACTTATTTTGGGTTTGCACTGTCTAATGCCAGTTTGCATTTTTTTGTATAACTTCAACATTGCACAGATGCCTATAACATGTTAGTCATGTTAATGAGACCATGTTATAGATATCTGATCCCAACTGATTAATAGAATGCTGTTGCTGTAATACTGCTTACCTTTCATAATACTAATATAATATAGGTGGTTTTTCAAATTTTTACTGTCAGTAGATTTTGAACTCTTAATTTACCACTTGAAGGGTTAACAACTTATTCACTTCACTAAGTCACTATATCTTATTATATAAAATTTTAATTTACTAAAATTAATTTAATAAAGAAAATCAATAAAAATGTTTTGACCAAGTTCTTTAAATCAACTGGACTCATTCTAAACCTTGATGGTAGTAAAGATAATAAGATGTTACACTGTTTATAAGCAATTATTAAAAACTAGATAAATAAGATTAATGAATTATTAAGTAAAAAAAGTGATGAAAAGATAATAAATATAGATGTAGATAATAAGATAAATAATAATACAAATAATGATATGAATAATAATATAAATAATAATAATATAATAAATATAAATAAAAATATAAAAAACAAATATATAACAGATAATAATTATAATAGTATAGTAAAACAATCTACAAATTTATTTTTATACAATATAGACTAAAAGATCTTTTTTTATAATACTTTTTACAATATTTAGTAGTCTAGAATGTATTGTACTTAGAATACTAAAGGTAAATAAATTGAAAATAATAATACTTAGAATATAAAGTACCTTTCTAAATACTAAGTACTAGTTAATCATATTTAAAAATATATAACAAAATACTTAGATACTAAGGATCAGTTAATTGCATTTGTAAATGTATAATAAAATATCTGAGTACTAAGAACTGGTTAATTGCATTTTGAAATATATAGTAAATATCTGAGTATTAAAAACAATTAATATGGCACTCATATAGTGCAACTTATACTTTTATACAAATTATAATATTTCTCTAATTATAATACCTAAATATACTACTTAAATTGTAAAATACTTGAGTATTTTAGTTTATACTGTATAGTACTAATATAATCTATTAAATATTACTTCTCTGTTTGTTTATATACATGCTAAATTATTAGAAAATAAAATTTAAGATTAGTAATGATTCATATATTATATTATTAATAGAATTATTACTACTTGACAGTAAATATATAGTTTATTTCTAATTTTTTATTTATTAAACAAATAAAAATTCTAAAATAAAGATGAATTTTTAGTAAAATAAAAAAAAATTCATCATAAAGAAATATTAATTTGAAATTATAGTATCAAATAAGAAATTGTTTCAAATTCTAAGAACTGAGATCATAAAAAATTTTTGCAATATAACTATATTACAAAATTGTTTATTATTTATCTATTTTCAAAATCTTGTTTTAAAGTTTGTTTACTTTTTGTTTTCTTAAGAAAAATTTTACTTAAAGTATAAAAACAATATTTGAGTTTATATTTTCTATAATTTAGATAAGTAATTTGTTTTTTTTATATATATATTTAATAAACAAAATTTTTAATACTTTTACATTTAACAACTTACTAAAAATATTTAAAATACTGAGTTATTATTTTTTTTTTTGGTATTAAGGTAACCTCTTTGGTCTTTTGACTTTTATTAATTACATATCAGTATTGTGATTCAATGAACCACTACAGAAGAGCATACAATTAGCTACATGTATAACTTTTCTATATTACCTATTTAAGGAGTCCACCCAAAGGTTCCCTACCAATTGCTGTACTTAATACTTCTGCTTGGGTGTTTCACTTTAAACCCTTTGAACCTGTAACCTCAATCTTAGGACTAATTTATCCTTAAGGTAAACCCCTCAGAGCCTTCTGTATCCATTTTTGCAGCTGACCTAGATATCACTATAGCAGGACCAACACTTGTGATCAGAGCTGATCATTAAATCGTTATGCCCTTGTAGAGTTTACACAAACCCCAGCATCTACTTCACAGCATATCCGAAATACTTTAGTATACCTCTGCTAGTTCACCAAACTCCTAATTCAGATAGTCTGATAGGACTTATGACCAGTCCATTGGTATATCAGATTAGCCTGATATCCTTTTCCTTTAGCTCGATCCGGTGGCCTGGTTGGTGATACCTCCTACCTAGAGTTTTTTGTCCATCCAGCTACTTTGACCTTGGTATCCATTTCATAAGGCTAGCCTTTACAGTAGGGCCATCAAAGATCTGGCTACCTCTCTACTTGGGTCTTCTTAAATAGACTTTTTGTTACCCAATTTCAACAGATTTACACAGCTACAAGGACTTAGCTAGTGTTTGCACTATTTATTGTCAGTTTGAATTCCTCTATGTAACTACAACCTTGTTCCAAAGGAAAATGTTATGTGACCTGTTACATGAATGCTCCATGACCTACCAGTCATGTTGGTATGACTGCTATTACAAGTATCCTAATTTAATTGTTAGTAACAGTTGCTATAATATAAATATTACATAGGTAATTATTCAAATTTTTGCTGTCGATGGGATTTGAACACCCAACCTACCACTTGGAGGGTTGACAACCTGACCACTTCACTAGTTCGCCACACCCCCATATAAACTTTGTTAATTATTATGATATTTTTATAGTTAGATCATAGTTTATATTTTGCATGATAGCTAATTTGAGTTTAATAGATAGTATATAAATAGAGTTATCAAATACTTTTAAAAAGGACTTTTGGTTAATTCTTTCTTGTACTAATTAGACTTGAAGATATTTTTTGTTTTTGTATATTACTTTTTATATATTGAATAGGTTCTTTGACTTGTATATATATATAAGAATATATTATCTTTGCTATTAAAAATAATTTAATGCTTACAATTCAGTAGTTAAATTGGCAATAACAGAATAAAAACTTTTCTTTGGTTATAACAATAGGTGCATTATATTTTAGTAATGCTTATAATAATATTTACAAAACTCTACTAGCAGTATTGGCTATTTTAAATCATATACAATTTTATATAATCAAGTTACTATAATGCAATAGTTATAAGGTCATAGCTTACAATTAACAAACAGATTATCACAGGTTATAGAACAATATTGATATTTAGTACAAACTAAAACATCTGCAAGACCTTAGTACTCTAGTACAAACTGGTTAAATTAAATGTTTTGCATGCAGAGTTTAATTGCCAAAAAAAGGTATGCATGCTGTAATTATAAAATAAATAAAGTGCATATCTTGCTGCTACATAAATAACATAGGTTGTGATTTAAAAAAGCTAGTTATAAATAAGTAAAGATGTTATTATTAATTGATAAAAAGTGTAAACTAAATAAAAAAATAATGTCTTGTCTAATGTATAGTCATAAGTAAGACAAACAATTAAAGCAAGTCCAAAAATAGATTTAAGTATATAAATAATAATTATTGCTTTAAATTTAGTTTTGTTTAGCCTACTATAGCTTATATAATAATTTGCATCAATAAGCATAAAAATAGTTTGATTGACTAAAATTTTTTTTTTTTTGAATTTCCTATTACATGGTTGCTAGTAGGCCACAGCTGGCAGCTGTTTTATTAGTTCATATTTCAAGTTCACAGGATCTTCTATCAAGACCCATTTCTATTTTACATTATTTGTGTACATTTACAGTATTATCTATATACTAATTTTTGTATTTCTATTATCCCGAAATTTCACTGGGACTATTTCTAATTGAGAATTCTTTTGTTTTATTATTATCCTCAGCCCCCTAATCATTATGGTCTTCTTATATTAGATCCATCGCTATTTAAGAATCTGAGTACCGAAGATCTTCCTAATTTCGTAATATACTATCAGGTGTGATTAATCTGCAATTATAGTTCTAACACAGTTTATATTCCCTATTGAACTTGAACTGGCAACCTTGTGATTGGTGACCTGGAAGTGTAACCACTTTACTATTGATTCACAGGTCATTGACTAAAATTTTAGTAATTATATTACTTAACTTGTGTATATATGAATTTCAAATATATAATAAAACTGATTTTAACACCTAATATGAAATATTAATAAATACAGAAATGGTCTAATTAACAAAATTTGTTAGAAATAATAATAGTACATATTTTTTTTTTTTTAATATTAAGGTGAGTAATTGCAACTCAGGAGTTTATTAATAATCAGTTAGCATATAACTATTGTGTACAACAGCTACAAAGGCAATCATGGAAAGAGTGTACAACTAGTCACTTGTACAACTTTAGTCATTGTCTATTTTAAGTAGTCTATCCAAAGGTTCTATACTAGTTGCCATACCTAGAACCTGCCTGTAGGTTCTCTATTTAAACACTCTAGTTCCTGTATTCACCCTTACCCTATCAACTACAGCTATTGCTGCAAATATACTATGGTCACTAAGTCATATTTAACTTTATACTAAGCTTACTAGAGCCTTCTGTATTCTATACTTACAACTGACCCAATACTGCACTGGCCTAAACTATCACTTGCAGTCAGGGCTAACTATTAAACTGCTATACTCTTATAAAGTTTACAGGGACCCTGATACCTTCCTTTCCTAACTTCCACACCCCTACTTCTGAATCTACAAGACTCATAAGACTTCACAAACTACCAATTCAGATGGCCTGTCTGATAAACCTGGCAGCCTGGTTGGTATGTGCTCCTCTACACATGTTGTCATTCAATCCATCTGAGGTCCTAGTAATTCTTTTTTGGGAGCTTCTGATAGTTTGGTAGTACTATCGAAAGTCCATGCTACCTCTTTACTCAGGATTTTCAAGTGGGTTTCCAACTCTTTGATTCTTTTGCTTTCTATGCCTGATGGTCTTATCATGGGTTTGCACCAAAGTCTTATACAACACTAATTATTAACATTCCTCTATGTGGATATAATGTTACACTTTGTATAGATGCTCTAAGCTCCTATTCAAGATGATGCAACAAAGGTTACAGATACACAAATCCAACTGATCAACAAAGACAGTTACCATAACATAGACCTTATTTTCCAAAATTCGTTATCTATGAGATTTGAACTCTAGATCTGCCACTTGAAGGTTAACAACCTGACCACTTTACTAAGTTACCACACCCATAATAGTACAGATTTTTAAATATCGATTCTTCTATAAAAATACATTTTAAACTGTAGATTTATATATAACTGATTGAAATTTTTTTTATTATTACAAATATACAAAATATATACAAAAATTTATAAAATTTCTCATCTTAATTCCTGAATAAAGATTATAAATTTTTTAGTTACAATTTAACTTCTGGTCTTTTTTATCAATATAATAATAATACTTTTGCCTCACATTCTCAACTATCAATATATTTGGCTAATAAATTTACTAACAATGAAGTTATTAATAATGAATCTAAAAAAATAAAGCTTAATAATAAAAAAGAGTTTACTCAGTTTTTTTTTGACTTTTATAAGCTTTCTGGAGCTCAACCTAAGGACAAATAAATAATCAAAGCTAAATATACAGTTGTAGACTGTCAAACTAAATATATATAGCATAGTTCAACAACTAATTTGAATAACATCTTTGTGATGCACACTATATTACAAAAGTATCACTTAAAAATAAAACAATTGAAGAGCTTAAAAAGCCTTTTTAGCAAACATTGGAAACAGTTTTATTAAAATCTTATTCAGCATTAAGACAAAAAAAGCTTATACATGATATTATTAAACTTTTTATTTTATGTACACTTTTATTATTTTTAATTAAAAATAAAAGTTTTCATTTTTTTTATACTCTTTTGATCTCTAATATAACCATTTTGTATAAATATAATTAAAAAGAAAATTGCAAATAGAACTTATTACACTACTCAAGCTATCAAACAAATGTTTTATATACAAGCCAATACTATATATCTTACTTTTAATTTATAGATATCTTGTGCACATGGCTCTTATTTAAGTATTACCTGTTATTGGATTACAGAAGAATTTTATATATATGATCTTATGCTAGATATAATTGAAATAGGTGCATATAAAACTGCAAATAATATTGTTAAAACTATTAAGCCAATACTTAAAGAATTTGGTATAGAAGAAAATAAAATACTAAGCATAATAACAGATAATGATTCCAATGTTAAAGTAGCTGTTATACAACTTTTAACAAGCCTTTTAACATCAAAACTAATTGCCAACATTTTTTGTATTGCACATATATTACAGTTAAGTATTCAGACAGGCTTGGAGATTGCAAATATTTTAATTACAAAATTTAAAATGTTAATTTTACTTATAAGTAGGAAAAAAAATAAAAACAGTTAAGAGAAGTACAAATCAGAGTTGGTATACCAAAAGCCAATGTGATTAATATTATATCAGATATAGAAACCAGATAAAACTCTATATATATGGCTTTTAAAAGGCTTGCAAATCTTGAGCAATCAATTAAATAGCTAATCAATAATTTTAAAAATTCAGACAAAAATGATTATTGTTATGATGATGCTAATATTTGAAATAAATTATTGTCAAATAATAAATTTAAAATTATACAAGCTCTTGTTAATCTTTTAGATCCATTTGACAATATTACAGAAATACTTTCTAAATCAAATTATGCTATATTAAGTATTATAGTATTAACAATAAAAGGATTAATTTATTAGTTAAATAATACAATTTGTGAATTAGATCTTATAAACTATATAAAAAATACAATTTTACCAAATCTATTAAGCTAATAGTTATTACTATATGAATATAGAATGTACGCATCTTTACTTGATCCTAGATTTAAAAATTTATTATTTTGCACTAATGTAAGTATTGTTATATATTTACAAAATAATATATTGTTAGACATAATTAGTACTCCTCAAAATCAAGTTAAATCTTAAATTTTAATCAAATATTTAAAATTATTTAATTAAATTTTTAATTTGATTAAATAATTTTGAATATTTGATTTAAGTTCAAAATTTGATTTGATCTTGTGAAATATCAGGCATAAAGCTGATTTTTTAATATTTTAAACATAAACTTTATGAAAATATATCAATAAATATTTGTTACAATTTTAACTCAAAATCTTAATTTATAATTATATATCACTTTTGTTATTAGACATTAAAAAAAAAACAATTAAAGATTTGCAAATTCAGTTTAAATTTTTTTTTGGTATTAAGATAAAGCCTTGTTCATATCTTTATTAGTAATTTAAAAGTTAGTAACTACATGGAGCTGTTATATACAAAAAGTAATTTTTTATATAAATGCTATAGCTAAAACCAACACTTGCAATCAGAGCTGAACTATTAGACTGCTAATTATATAGCTACTCTAAGTACAAATAAAAAAAAAACTAAATTCAAGAATAAAAGCTCAAATATATTTATCTGTAACCTAAACCTACTAGAGTAGTCAAAACTTATCTAGATTTGTAAGTTTAAAATATAGTTATAGGAAATATTGTATTTGATCTAAAGAATAGTTCAGATGTTAATTTTATAGATAGCATAACCAATAGGTAGACAGATATTAAAATTGGAATGTAATTGGTCTGATAGTTTACATAGACAAAAATATATATAATTTTTGTAATTAAAGTTTTTTTTGTTGCTTTAATTTGATTAAGATGAGGGTCTAGCATAGGGTAGTTTAAGTCCTTGTTGTTGTTTTCAGTTAGCAAAGTTTATACAATATGGTTTCCATATTTGTTCATAAGAAAGTTAATTAACTTTAAGCAGGATAGCAATAATTGTTTGCAAGACTAGTTGTATAAAATATTAAAGTTTTGTACAATATTAATTAAAGATTTAGAAATAAGTCCTTTAAGTGTAATATTAAGATAGTGTTAATTTGTTTGAAGAGGTATAGGATAAAATGCATAGTGGTTACTGATTTTGTGAATAAGTTCTTCTTTTTGATTTATAGATAAATTGAGATCTGTATGATTAATGTATTCAGATATGCTAGTTTGGATAATATTAAAGATAAGTGATAGATTTAAGCATATACATCAATGGGTTGGAGAGTCAGCAAGATTACAGTTAAAGCAATTAGTATTATAAAATATATGCAGATAAGTTTTGTGAAAATAAAAATAGGTAGAAAGTTCATTTAATAAGATTTTAATTTTGAATGATTTAAGGTAGTTAAGTTTAAAGTTAGTAACATTATGAGTTGGTTTTTGGTTATAGTTAAAAATAACCAAGTTGATCTTTAGTTAATTTGAGAAATTAGGACTTCCCATTCTATATTACATTTTTAAGAGGACTATATTGCTAAAATGTAGACTCTACAGATATTTTTAAGGAAGCTTCTAGTTAAATGTTTGATAAAATGTTGATCCCAAAAAATTATATGATATGGATTATAGATGTTTGTATAGTTAAAATATAGTGTAAATAATGAATTATATTGTTTTGCAAATAAGTTTGCTAAATTGTTAAGAGTGTTATTAGTATGAGCTTGTACTTTGTAAAAGTTAATCTGATAATTATAAGATTGATAATATTAAGCAAAGTGTGTTATATAAGCCATATGCTGAATTTGAAAAGCTTGTTAGGATTTGAGAGAATAGTATATATTTTAGAATATTTAGTAATTATAGACTGAGAATTGGTGAAGATATTAATTGTTAAGTTGCAAGAAGTAATTGAAACAGCTAAGAGAATTGACATTAGTTTAGCTTTGTAAGAAGATGACCAGAAATGAATTTTAGCTGAGAATTGATGAATTATTTAGTTGAAATCATTAACTTGTACCTATCTAATATCCATTATACATTAATCTGTACTGATATTGATTACAAAGCCATCAGTACAGAAGTTAAATATATTTTGTGCTATATTGGTAAGAGAATATTGTTCAAGTATATATGTAGCTTCTTCTTGCTTAAAAATTTCTAATATAGAAGAGTTAGAAATATAAATAATAGGAGCAGAAGATAGGAATAATAGATGTTTAATCACAGTTGAATGAATTAGATTAATATAGTTTGCATTAAAGTTGAGTTTATTAGAAGAAACTCTTCCAAGAAATTGTATAGAAATTATTGATAATACATTAATTGTACAGTAATTTGCAACTTTATGAGAGTTGAGATAGCAACCTGTACAAGCTAAGCATTAAATTGATAAAAGAGGATAGTAAGTAAAGAGTTCTGTATTAATATTTGTATTCTAGTATGTAATAGATATTTGATTGTCATATTTAAAATATATGCAAATTTTGCCAATAATATATCATTATTATTGTATATTAGTAACCAAGGTTTAAGTTTTTTAGAAATATATTGAGAGTTGTAGGTAAAAGGATTGTGTTCAGTTTGTTGATATTGTAAAAGTAGTATTCTAGAGCTGTTGTTAAAAGTTACAGTATTTTCTAAGCATATAAACCAAGATGGTTTATATCCTTTAGGTAGCTGTACTAAGTGAGATGAAAGATAATTTTATTGAAGTAAGGTAGTATTGTTTGCAGTACAAAGTTGTTTAAAATACAAGATGTTAAGTTTTCTAAGTTGTTTTTTGAAGGTAGTGTATTGAGGATAGGAGGATATGATTAGTTCTAGTGGTTGAAGACTATATTGTATAGTATTAGACCAGAATACACTATTATTAGCTATTATAGACATGTTAATATATATAATAAGTTGGATAATTTTAAAGTTTAAAGTATATCTGTTAGGTTCATTGATATTAGGTTAGAGATGTTGTAATATATTTGTAGTTGACCAGAAATTATTTTGTAATTGTTATAGTTAGATGTATATAGAAGTTCTTAGTAAATAAGAGTTGTTGATTCATAAAATAAAGTTAGATATATGATGTTAGAGCTAAATGTTTCAAATATTATGTACATTATATAGAAATGGATTAAGCATGATGCTGTTTGGGATGAAATGAGCTAAGTGAGATTTATGGTTGGCTATAGTTAGATATTTAGCTAAAATTTTGTAAATACAGAATAAAAAAGAACTATATTGTATATTTGGTATTTTAGTGTCAGAATAATAACTGTATTGATAATATAAATTATTTGTTTATCTGTGATTTTTTTAGTATTAACAATATTTGTAAGTTGGAATGTTTCTTCTTGAATTAGTTTAATTTGTGCAGTTTGTTTGTTGTTAAGTATAAACTAGCAGCCAAGAAATTTAAAAGATTGGTTGGCTGAAATAGATATGAGTATAGAATTAAAGAATTGAGTAGTAGTTTGGAATTGATTTGATATAAAGATAGATTTGAAAGAATTGATTTAAATATTGGCTATTTGATAAAAAGATGTTACAGTTTGAAGTATCTTTTTAAGTTCTACTTTAGATTGAAATATCCAAAGTGTATTATTCATATAGACTAAGATAGAGGTAGATGTATTAAGACTTTGGGTTTTAAGTAAAGAGAGGCTAGTTGGCTATATTATAGATAATGTATAATCTTTATGCTATAATGTAAGTTTATAAATAAGTGGGCCATAGTATATTTACCAAAAAA